TAATTAAGAAGGAAAAAAAAAAACTTGTTCGGAAGTTCACAACTGAAAATACCTATTCTGTTCGGAAGTTGTTGTCCGAAACAAAAACATAATTTCGGAGGTTGGCTGTTGTCCAAATTCAATTTTTTCGGAAGTTGACTATCGAATGAATGTAAAAATTTCGGAAATCTACTGATGAAAATATTGAATTTTTTCGGATTCCTACGTCCGAATACATTGTTATGTTTCGGATAACCAGTTCCGAACGACGGTTCCAAATCACAAACTCTACATTCCAACTGAAAAACTCTACATTACAGATGAAAATGAGGATTGAATAGGAATGATGATTCAAAAGTAAACTCACCTAATGAGGATTGAAAATCTGATGGAATGCTTCAATGGGATGCAGCTTCGTAGATGAAATGCTTCAATATATTTGCACACCTGGGTTGCACGCGGTAAGGAGATAGAATGCTTCAATGTGTTTGCAGATATCCTTCAATGCTTCAATAGGTGCTTCAGCGGTGATGGAATGCTTCAAGGTTGAAGATGTGCTTCAGATTCAATAGGTGTGTGTATTTGGGGTCGGGTGTGTGCGTGCGTGTGTGTGTGTGTGTGAGGGTACATTTGGAACTCACCGTGTGTGTAGGGAGGAAATTAATTAGGAATTAATTTTTTTGGTGTGTGTTTTGAGAAGGATGTGCAAAGAGGGGATTAGGTGTGTGTATATAGAAGCTCCCCTTTGCAGCTTGTGGCTTATCATTTTTTTCCCATGTTGCCCTTAGCTTGTTTTGAAATTATTATTTTGCCTTTTACTTTTGTTGATGAAACAATTTGGATAATAGCCTTTTGAAAATTATGTAATACCTTTTGACTGCTTTGGTTGAGAAGGTTTGTCTTAGGTTACTTATTTTATCTTTTTATTTTGTATAATTTACTATTAATTTGAGTGAAGTTTTTTTTGTAAATACGCAAACATTCTTAATTAATTATGAAAAATAAATCTTTTATTTTTTAACAAATTATAAATATACCAATAAATTTGTTAAAAATATGAATTAGTCTTATAATACTACAAATTATAACTATCGTTTATTATAAATTTTAATACAATAATTAGAAGAAAAAAAAACTACTCTCCTATGCAATAATAAATTATCAAAATTGTTCATTGAAAAATATTTCTCATATTATTAAAAACTGTTAGTTGACTTAATGCTTTATTTATTAACACATAATTAAGACTTTAGAATCACAATTAAACTATTTAAAATTATAAAGACTAAAATAACACAAAATATATATATATATAATTACATATGTAATTAACCCGAAAGATTTTGTAATTATATTAACAGGCTACAAACAAATCATAAAAAAAAAATTATTTTCAACATGGATAAGTCTTCGTTTGGTAAGTGAGTTGGGTTTAAGTTGGGATTAAAAAAGTACAAAAAAGGTAAAACAGGTTAAATAAGCTAATAATGAAAAATATCACATTCAAAAATTATCAAAACGCAAAATTTAAACATACTGTAATAATAACTTGTGCACTTAGTTGCTTGAGGTTCGTCTTTGCTTTCCGATTTTGCCATTTCATTTTGAATAATTTACTAATAGTGACCTATATGTTGAGTGAAGGTTTTTTCATAATTACGCAAATATTCTTGGTCAATTATGCAATGAGTTTTTTTCATAATTACGTTAATATTCTTGGTCAATCACAAAACAAGTTTTTTCGTAATTACATACATATTCTTGGTCAATTATGAAATATAAATCTTTTATTTTTTAACAAATTATAAATACACCCATAAGGTTTGTTTAAAATAAGAATGGGTCTTATAATACTAGCAATTATAACTACCGTTTGTTATAAATTTTCATTTAACACAATATTGAGAAGGAAAAAAAAATTCTCCTATGCAATAATAAATTATCAAAATTGTTTATTGAAAAATGTTTTTTATATCATTAAAAACTATTAATTAACTTAATAATTTATTTATTAACAAAATAATCAATTGAAAAATATTTTTCATATCATTACAAATTGTTAATTTACTTAATGATTTACTTATTAATAAAATTGGTCATTCTTTATGCGAGTATGATTTATGTATTAATAAAATTAGTTATTTATATATATATATATATACAAATTTTCTTTTGCTTCTTTGTGAGTTCAATGAATTATCTTAGTAGTTTTTTTTTAGATGAGAGAATTATCTTACTATGTGTTTTATATTTATCTGTTGAGAAGAAAGGTTAAAGATTTATTCTATTATTTTTTTTATATTTATTAGTTCAATGAATTATTTGTTTTAAATTCGGAAGAAAGGTTAACGACTCATAAATTCACCCAAAATAATATGGTAATAAAATTGGAGTCGACATCATTAGTTGTATAACAAATCAAAAAATGATACATACCATACCATATAATTCTATTATATATCTAATGATTTATTGTATTCAATTTCATATAACAATATTTTAATTTTAAAAAAATTATCAAAATATAAAACTTAAATACACTGTAATAATAGCTTGTGCCTTACACGAGCCTGTGTAAACTAGTATATATATATATATATATATATGTAGCTATGCTTGCATATGTATGGGAAGAGATTAGAAATAACGAGACAAAAGAAGAGAATATCTTGGTGTGGGTATATATGTATGCATCTATATATATATATATATATATGGGATAAATTGGTGGGTATCCACTCCTAACCCATTCTCGATAGAGATTTAAAGAACATCACTTACCTGATTTAATGGGCAAAAAAAAAAAATTATTGGTCTCTATAGGTACCCACAAGATAGGTTATCTATTTTCATCCCTAGTTGGTGATGGCAGTAGAGGTTGTCGGCTAAAGTAGGGGGCAGTGTTGGGGTGATGGGGATGGTTGGTGGGATTAGGGTTAGAATTTGAAAAATTAGCATTAGAAAGTTAGGGATGGAGATACAAATGGAATTTTATATTTGAATAAAATTGGAATTAAAAAAAAAACAAAAGATGTGGGGGGGGGAGCTTCTATTTGCACACACACAATTCACTCTATACACACATTTAATAATAATGATTTTTATTACAATTTTATTTCCAAGTGAAGTTATTATTATGGACATCATATACAACTCAAATAAACACATCCGGAAGTTGAATGTCGAAAAAATTCAAAATTCAAAATTCTACTGTCGAAATAAAAGATAATTTTTGGAATTCTACTTTCGAACAAGTTGTTTATTTTCGGAAAACTACTTCCGAACAAGTTATTTATTGAGAAGGATGTGTATAGAGTGTAATGAGTGTGTGCAAATAAAAACTTCCTGTGATGGGTCCTAACAAAAAGGGTAGGGGTAAATATCACTACTCTTAAATTCACTTTTCCAAAATCAATATGGTTAATTGGTCTATAAAAAAATTCTTAAGACGAAATGAATTATCATTATTTAAGATGGGATTTATGAATAAGTTTTTCTTTATCGTCTTAGGATAAAAATAAAAAAAAATTATAATTCAGTGTATATTTAAAAAAATAAAATTCAAATCAATGATTAATTTTAAAAATATTAATAATTGAAATTTTAGATTTTTTAATGAAACAGAACCACTTCATGGTAAATTTTTCATATAAAATTACATTCTTTAAAATTTGGTATTGAAAATGTAAGGTTCCGTTCGGTAAGACTTTCTAGCTATAAGTTGTATTTTGAGTTTGGGTGTTTTGAAATTATGATTTGAGTGTAGAAAATTTGTTTGGTTATAATTTTTTAATAGAGTGTTGAATTGAGTTTTGAATTGAGTGTGAAATTGAGTTTTCAAAGTTTGATTTGACATGTGAAGTAAGAAAATTTGTTTGGTTATGAGTTTTGGAAAGAGTTTTCAAAACTTAATTCAAATTGTTATAACTCATAACAAAACACATTACTTTCACACTATTGAAAATTCTGATCAACACTCATAACCAAACTATTTTTAAATTCAATTAAAAAATTTTATTATTAACAGAAAATAACATTAATCAATTTTTTAATTGAAAATACTACCAAGGAAATAATTTTTTTTTCAAAATAAATATTCAAAAAATTTAAATCATAAATATTTAAATAATCTAAAAAATTTAATAAATAAAAAATTAAAATAAATATTCAAAAATTTTAAATGGCCCGACCCCGGCCCCGTTCCCGGTCTCGATTCTGCCCCACCTCTCTCTCCTCTCTCACTCACCAACCCACTATATATAATAGATACTCTTCTCTCTCTCTCTCTCTTATCACAGATCTAATCTAACAAAACTCCTTTCATCTCTCATTTCAGATCTCTCTCTCTCTCTCATCTCAGACCCCATCTTTCTCTGCCGCTCTCTGTCTCTCGTCTCTACGCCGCCGTGGCCGCACTCCGCCGCTTGATACCATCGGCGCAACCAGTCTCCATCTTCTCTCCTCTCTCAACCGATCGAGACCTCTCTTCTCTCCCTGTGATTGTGTGTGTGTGTGATGATGATGGCGACTCAGATCTCATCTCAGATCTGCAGATGTATGTGTGTGTGTGTGATGATGATGGCGACTCAGATCTCAGTCTCAGATCTGCAGATGTGTGTGTGTATGTATCTGTGTGTGTGTGTCTGCCCCTCATAATGTATGTGTGTATTTGTGTGTGTGTGTGTATCTGTGTGTGTGTGTGTATCTGTGTGTGTATGTATGTATCTGTGTGTGTCTGTGTGTGTATCTGTGTGTGTGTATCTCTGTGTGTGTGTGTGTATGTATGTATGTATGTGTGTGTGTATCTCTGTGTGTGTGTCTCTGTGTGTGTGTGTCTGTGTATCTGTGAGCAACGGTTAGAGATGAGGGTAATTACGTCCCTCACAATTAAATGGGACTAAACGGTTTACTAGAATAAAAATGGGACTAATTGGTTCATAAGTTTACATTTTAGGATTTATTGGTAAATCTCCCTTTAAATAAACTATAATTTAAGAGGTTTACCAAATAAAACCTAATATTGTAAGTAAACGGATCGGATGGTGTTGGATCCGGAGTTGTCTCTGGTACCCTCTCTCTCAATCTCTCTCTATCTTTGCACTGAACCGAAGGCCCCAAAAACACACCATTACGAAAACCCTCACAAATCTCTACTTATGTGTGGGTTTTGCTGTCGGATTTGTAGCGATTTGGGAACATTCGTCAAGAGTTTGGAACAAATTTGATCCGATTGGTGAGTATTCTTGTACTTCTTGAATTTTTTAGAGTTTTGAATTTAAGGTTTTTGTTAGGGTTTGAAATTCAGGGCTTTTTTTTTTTTTTTTGATGAATTCTGCGTTGGTTTGTATTTCTGGCATTACTTCGATCGTGGTATGTGTCAACCCTCTCTCTCTCTCTCTCTATATATATATATATATATACGCGCGCATGAATATACATTACAAATATTTGATAAATTGATTTTGGAAATTTTAGGGTTTTCTCAAATTTATTGCAGCTAATCATTGAAATCGTGCTTTGAATCAATCAATCTTGCGTTTAAGTTACTCTGAAACTCTGATTTTGGGTTGAGAATTTCAATGGGGAAGAACGAATTTTTGACTCCCAAGGCGATTGCGAATCGAATCAAGGCAAAGGGTCTCCAGAAACTTCGATGGTACTGCCAGATGTGCCAGAAGCAATGTCGGGACGAGAACGGGTTCAAGTGCCACTGTATGAGCGAGAGCCACCAGCGCCAAATGGAGGTTTTCGGCCAAAATCCCCACCGAATCGTCGACGGCTACTCTGAGGAGTTCGAGAGAGAGTTCCTCGACCACATGAAACGCAGCCACCGCTTTAGCCGCATTGCTGCCACTGTGGTGTATAACGAATACATCGCTGATCGCCACCATATTCACATGAATTCGACGCAATGGGCTACGTTGACGGAGTTTGTTAAGTATTTGGGGCGCACGGGCAAGTGCAAGGTAGATGAGACCCCAAAGGGGTGGTTTATTACATATATAGATAGAGATTCAGAGACCCTTTTCAAGGAAAAGATGAAAAGTAAACGAGCTAGGGCCGATCTAGTGGATGAGGAGAAGCAAGAGAGAGAGATAAGGAGGCAAATTGAAAGGGCAGAGTTGTCAATACCGGAGGCAAATGGGGCTGCTCAGCCTTTGGAGCCTGAGCTCAAGCCCCTGGAAAAATCAGAGACTGGTGAGAAGATTGTGCTTAGCTTGGCTTCGTCATCTAAACTCATTGCTAAAGAGAAAGTTGGGAGTTCTAAGTTGGTATTTGAAGAACCGATGATTGATACAAAGAAAGATAAAGTTAAAGAAAATGGAAATTCAGTGAAAAGTAAGGGTATGAATAGGTCGGTGTTGGATGATTTGATGAGAGAGGAAGAGAAGGCGAAAGAGCGGATTAATAGGAAGGATTATTGGTTGTGTGAGGGAATCGTTGTAAAAGTCATGAGCAAGGCATTGGCTGAGAAGGGGTACTATAAGCAAAAGGGAGTTGTGCGCAAGTTGATTGATAAATATGTTGGGGAAATTGAGATGCTTGAGACTAAGCATGTGCTCAGGGTTGATCAGGAAGAGCTTGAAACTGTGATTCCACAAATTGGAGGCATTGTTAGGATAGTTAATGGGGCTTACCGCGGATCAAATGCAAGGTTGCTAGCAGTGGATACAGACAAATTCTGTGCCAAGGTTCAGATTGAGAAAGGGATATACGATGGGAGGGTGATTCAGGCTGTTGAATATGAAGACATTTGCAAAGTTGTTCAATGAGATTATTGTATATCGTGAAATCTTCTGTTCTTCTCCTTCCGCCACTTTTGGGTTGGTAAGTTGGAATGAGCCCATGCCAATTTCAATCAAACTGATTTCGTGTTCTGTTGAATCAATTGTAACAAGTGTTTTTGTGTCTTTCACGGAATTTAGCAAACAATTGCATGAAAAGGCTTATGTTTTTTTACATATAGCTTGGTGATTTTAAAATTGTGGGTACCACAAAACACCTGTTTTGACTTTTAACATCATCATTTCATTTACAGTTATATGCCTCGCTATACTATGTTTCAGAGTAGGATTATTGCATGATTGGTCATGATAAATTTCTGATAATTTGTTCTCTTCCCTGTGTAATTGTTCAAATATTCCTTCAAAAGATTGGCTGCCGTTTTTATTCTCACCTGCTTTTTATTAACTCTTTCTAGGAAATGTAGGTTTGATAATTTTTACAACTATTTTGGTATACAAGTAAATTGTGAATGGATGATGCACACCCATTTATTGATCATATCTGTATGCATGGCTGTCCACTAGTATTAGTTTTGTTAGTTACATGCATATTGTGAATGCATGTACACCCATATTATCGTCTTCAATATGCATGTGTACCCATATTATCTTCTTCAACTGTGAAGCACGGACACCTCTTTGGAGGTCACGTACAAGCTAAGAAGCACGGACACTTCTAAGAAGGTAACGTATCCGTGTCGTATCCGTGTCGGACACCGACACTCTTTGGACACTTTCCCGACACGTGTCCGACACTCTTTAAAACGTATCCTATTTTTTAAAGACTCGGACACTCTTTGGACACGTGGAGAATACATGTGTATCTCTTAAACACACGTGTCTATCAATTAGACACATGTGAAACCAATTATAAGTTTGAACAAAACAACTTAAGATACAATAATAAAACAAAAATCATATAAATTCATAAGAATTATTGTCATATTTAATATTTTTATTATCTTTGAATGATATATTCATATATATAACATATAATAAATATATAAAATTATATATTTCATGCGTGTCCCCCGCGTGTCGTGTCCTGCATTTTTTGAAAATTAGCGTGTCGGCGTGTCCGTGTCGTATCCGTGTCGTGTCACGTGTCCGTGTCCATGCTTCTTAGCGTACAAGTGTCCGACATGTGTCGGACACGTTGGGGACATGCTAAGGACACGTTAAGGATACGCTGAGGACTATTTTTTTAACAAACCTAAAGTTGATAAATTTGATAAAATTAAATATTTGATACAAAATACATATTAAATATTTAAAAATCTGACACATAATAAATATATAAAATTATATTTTTTGCACGTGTCTCTAATGTGTCGTGTCCTGCATTTTTTAAAAATTTATGTGTCTATCGTATCATGTGTCTGTGCTTCTTAGTTCTTCATTAAATTGTGTTTTAGGGTGATACCATGCATAGCTGATAAGTTGTCTGTCTACTTTAGTACTGATAGTTGCTGATGTTTCCTCCCATCTATTGTGAAAGGAACAGTTAGTAAATATTGCAAATTATCTTGGTTGATTGAACTCTTCTGATGGATGATGAGGTAGATGTCTGATTATCTTTTGTACATCCGAAGTAGAAGGTGCTCTTCTACTTTTGTCTGCCTTTTGTTTTGCCGGTCTTCGAGGTATAGATCCTATTGCAGCTATTTAGCTTACATATTGTTCTTCATTTTATTTTCATTGTTGGTAATGCTTTGCATGAATTATGTCAATGATCATTAGAGAAAAAATAAACTGTCATTAGTACTATGAGAGGGGAAATATATTAGACTGGAAAATAAACTGCATTTTGTTGCGGAACAATTGTGTCACCAAAGGGCCCTTCTCACCATGAAGGCGCCCTTTTATTAGTTGTACAGTTTCCAAGTCATTCGAAGGATTTGAATTTAAAACCCCCCATAGTTTTGGCTGTCAAATATTATGTTTTGAAAAGCTATAGAATTACCCCATCCGTAATTTAACATTTCAGAGCTTCACGTGTACTCTATCTTAAATAGACTGGAAAATAAAAAATACTAGTGTGCGACTGCATTTTGTGTATGGGGTAAGTGCCTAGACTTCAGGTGATTAGAAACCCCACTGGGTATGAGTTTATAGCATTGTCCATGACTGCTGAACTTGGGTACTTTTTAATAGTTTAAAGTGCATGTCATGTTTATAACTGGGAATCTGGAATACTGACCCCTCTAATTTTTATTTTTATTTTTTTATTTATTTTTCTATCAATGGGAAATTGTGATGTTTGCTTCTGGTTATCATGATTTTGCCACCAGGTCTAAGACTTCTGTTATTTAGAACGTGGATCGTTTTGATATGTGGAACGAGAATGGAAATAGGGTACGCCACATGTTTTAAAATGTAATATAATAGTTGTAAACTTGTATATATTACAATTGAGAATTTAAGGTATATCTAGGGTAATTTTCTTTGAACTATTAGACATTCAATAAATATAGTTTTCATGTAGCAAAATATTTCTATGAGTATTATGATCCATTATTAATGTTTTTGTCTTGTCAAAACTTAACTCATCATATATTTTAGTTTATTATATTTGATTTTTTTTTTCCCCTCTTAAGATAACATTTAAGGAAATATATTGCATAAAACTTTTGGAATCGCTTCGGTTTACTTAATTTACCATTTTGAAATGGAAGTGTAGCATGTTTCGGAACTTGTGTATCAATACGTAATATGGGTCAAGACACTTGATCATGATTTGCATAATTTGAATCATCTAACCTTAGATGCAAAAACAGTATGTGAACTTTTACCCTTCATTAAATAAGCTATTTTGGGAATTTTTGTTGTGGACACGTCTTGCTCTGTTGGTAGTTTAGGTGTAGAGAAATCCCTTGGGAGATGTGATGAAATATTGAAACGTAGACTTGGAGTTAGTGAAGTTTGTCACAAAAAGGTGAATCCCAGTACTAATTTGAGAACATGCGTTATCGGCTGAAATTTAGCATATTGTATTAGAATCTTCAGGTGATGTGGTTTGTAATGCATTGGTGTTGTTTTGTTAAAGCTTCCACTCTTACCATGTAAAATTACATGGAATATCGGGACCAGAAGACATGACCGTTAAACATTATGATAGTGTAGCAAATTCATTTTTACCTTTGATTTCCATAGAATCCACAACTATGACAGGTCTCACAGAAATTAAGATTGAAAATGATTTATGGCATTGCTTTTGCTAGGTCTGTGCCACCGGTGAACAACTAACTGCTGCTCATAATGTGGGCTATGAATATGAATATGATTGATTTGATTTGACAGTCCATTGCCAGAGCATAGTGTGTTTCACTATGGATGGCAAGGAATTACAGTTACTGTCTCTTCCACTGACGTCCATTCCATTCGGTTGTGTAGGTCTCATTTGATAAGTATATTTATGCTTATTTTTAGTAAAAACAAAAATAACATAAAATGAATGGGCAGCAAGAGGTGCGGTTATTTGAGATGGTGGTTGGTAGTGGTTGTCAAATGTTAGAGGTAGTTGTTGCTGGTGGTACGAGGGTTGGTAGTGTCTAGGGATATAAGAAAAATTGATAAAATCAAGTTGGCTAATCGAAATCAATCGAAATTTTAGTTTTTGATCTGTTTTTCATAACATACGGTCTGTTTCGGTTTTGAAACTTTTTGCCCCAATACAAATTGAACTGACTGAATATTATATTTAAATATTTTTATATTATAATTTCTTGATCATTATATGAGAAGTAACTAATATAATATATTTTTGTGATAAAAATTAAGAAGAAATATTTTTATAGAGCAATTTTCATATATTATCTTCATTTATTTTCAATATAAAATTCTATAATCTATTATAAAATCTTTTAAAATTTTTTGTAAAATTTTCTTTTACATCAAACTGATAAATCGGTTTCTCAATTATAAAAAATGAAAAGATCGATTTACTACTAAATATATTTTTAATACCGATCAAATTGAATTGTTTACACCACTTTTGGGAATAGATTTTTTTAGTAATTTTTTGGTTAAAATCTGATGTAAAAAAAATTAGTATGTTTGGGATGATTTTTTGACTTTTTACGAAAAGATATGTAAAAAGTAGAGAGAAAATGGAATCTTTGACTTTTTAATATGAGTTGTTGGTTTTTTAATTTTTTTAGTAACTTTTTAACTTTTTGGCTAAAAAAATCACTTGCCAAACGAGACCTTAGTGTCTAGAGATGATGGTGATCACTAAGCACTGAAAGTGATGGTGGCCAGTGGCGGTTTTCGGTAAGAGATGGTGGGCAAATGTGGTTGCTTTTGGGTGCCGATGATGGTAATAGGATGTGATGGCCAGTTAGTGGCCAGATAGGGTGGGAGAAGGGAGGAGGGAATGATACCTTTTTTTGGTGTTTTGTTTATTTTTTATTTTTTAAGGAACAATCCAAGCCAATTATTTTGAGATTACAAGAATATATTAAATTTTAATTGTTTATAAAATTTTGAAAATATAAATAGATACTAAATGAGTTTTTGTTTACAGTTTTTAAAATATTTATAAATATAAACATGAAAGTGTAAGTATAATATTACTAGACATGCCCTTGAAGTTTGTTTTGACAAAAAAATATTTTTTAAAAATATTTTATATAATCTGAAATTTGACAAGATAAAAAATAAAAGTTAACAAAAAAAAATTTTGTGATCAAATGAAAAATAAATTTATTAGCATAAAAATTTTAAAAATAAAATATACTTTTTGAATTAATCTTTCCAAGGCAACCACTATTGTCACCATAGCACCACTACCATTACTTGCAACTATCAACACATCATTTTTAAATTCGTAACCGAACGTAGTCAAATATATTTTTCACAAAAACGACATCTCCATTATACACTTAGAAGGATAACATTTGAAAAGAAAAAAAAAAGAAAAAAGGGAAAAATAATTATAAAGTGAAATTCTATATAATAAAAAATCGTATAATAATATGTTTGGTATTCATATTGATTTGGGTTAGTTTCAGGTTACTTTTGACATAATCAAATTTGTCATTTGTAAATCCCAAAATTGAATCGTCCTATTAAAAACCAAACCAACCTAATCAATGAAAAATGAGATAGCTCATTTATTTTTCTTTTTTATGATGGTGATTTTTTTTTTTTGAAAATATGAAAAATAGTTATATTAAAAAACAGTAACGTACAAAAATAAGATCTTAAAGGGCCAAACAAAACATACAACAAAACAAAGAAAATAAAATTCCTCAAAAAAACTAGTTATGATCCATGAAAAACCATCAATCTTCCCATATATGTGGTTTAAAAAGTTAGATTTGCATCAAAATCAACCGTTGGCATCGACATTGTCTCCATTACCGCTGTCCAACTCTACGACCACCGTCACTATACTTCATACATCGCCAGAAATTAGAGTTGAAGAGGAAGGACATCCACAATGATATTGGAGAAGGGTTAAGAAAAGAAAGAACCATTGTGGGTGTCTAAAATTCAAAAATCTATGTCTAAATTGGAAGAGAAACAATCAAAGCCTCTATTTCAAACATAAAATTTTGTTTGTAAATTTGCACTTTAAAAATGTAAAGGTGGTCGTTAGAACATTGTCGAAATACTACCGCAAATTTCCTATCTTGGTCCAACTATGATGGTATGTATACCTAACATTAGTGAATATGGACTTAATTTTCAAAATTTGAACTATTATTTGGTAACATGTGTAGGATAATGTCATTTTTTTATTTTTTTAAATAGATAACATCATACAAACAAATAAAATTTATAATTTTCTCTTATTAACTATCATAGCATTTATCTTGTTATTGTAACAGGTCCTGTTTTAAATATTAATTTTTATAGCAAATTATATCAGTAATAAGAAAATTAAAAAAAAAAAAGGGAAATTCTAACATACATACCTTTAAAAAGAGTGTATCATTTGCTCTTCTAATTATATCATTTTCTTTTTTAGTTATAACTAATTTTCTTCTTTAGTTATAATATTATTTTAATTATAACTTATAAGTTCTTTAGTTATGTCTTATGTTGTGTTTAGTTATAACATTTTCTTTTAACTATGACTCAAAATATATAAAATTATGCTATTTTTTTCTTTAATTATAAGATATATATTGTACATAATATTTATTAATATATATATATATATAGGCTGGTTTGGAATATTCTAAATAAGTGCAATTTTTGAATTTTTATTAAAAAAAAAAAGAAAGTGTAGAAAAGTAGAGAAAATGGGTATCAAAATAGAGAAGAGATATTGATTGATGTGACCTAAATAAATATATGTATGTAAAAAAAGTACATTTTTTTAATCTATACCAAACACCTACTTATTTATGGTGGAGGTAGGATTTAACACTCAAGGCATTGACGTTACTCTAGCGATCCTAATCAAATCACTCAATTGAATATCTTGCACTGTTTGGGGAAGTTGGGTTGGGTTGCGGTTAAAACCGCTAAAAAAGAAAAAAATAAGTGTTTTAATTTCAGGTTAAAAAATGTCACATTTAAATTATAAATATTTTATTTTTTTTCTTACATCAAAAAATTTTAAAAATCTATCACAAACGAGACTTTTTAACCTTAAACTGATAGTAAAAAAAAACTAAAATGTCAACCCATGTCTCAAACAAAGCCTTTATATGCCACTAATTGATAAGTTTAGTGAAGTATGGAGTCTATTCAAATCCTCAATAATAATAATTGTTTGGTTCTGTTTTTTAGAAAATTCTACGTTTTTACTTTTTGCATTTTAATGTTTTTAATATTTTAAGCATTTTTTTTTTAATTTTTAGACACACCTAACATAAATACACTTAAAAATTATAATATTTGTGAAAAAAATCTTTCAAAAATATTAGGAGGGCAACTCAGACAGGTTCGGTTATGTTGGAGATTTGCCCAAGCCCAGTCCGAATTGTGTTTGGCAGTGCCCAAGCCCGCCCAAGCCTGACCATCAACTCGAGCTTGGCTGCCCAAGCTTGACCATCAACCCGAGCTTGGTTGCCCAAGTCCGGACCAAGCTTCATAATTTGAAATCGGGTTAGCCCGAATTGACTGAATTTCATAAGGCAACAAGCAGTGCTTCATTACTCCATACAACAAACCGTGCTTCATTATTCCATATATAAGTCCATTAATCCATACAACAAACTTAAGCATCAACTTGAAATTAAACACAAGCAAAGCACTGACATAGTCCATGGCTGGCATTTCTTGTTGGTTCTCAGCATAAACACACACACACACACTCTCGCTCTCTCTCTCTCTTTCTCTCTCTCTCTCCATAATCAAACCCATTTTTCTCTCTTTGTCTGTACCCGAGAACATGAAACTAAGTGGAAGAAGAAAGTATCCAACGAGTCAGTCCCAAAGAAGAAGAAAGAAACAACCACAGAGAAGAATGAGTGTACCTTAGCTCGAGCGTCTCAGATTGCAAAACCAAGACCGTTTGAAAAAGATAACCCAAA